ATGCGCATAGCTGAAAGAAGAAGTAATGCGTGAAGTGAGCTGTACGACCTTACATTTGCCCCAACTTTAATGAGTTTTCACTTAAATTATAATTATTCGCCATAATATTGGGCCGGCCCTGATTTTTGGGAGATCCATAGTCGAAGCATTTCATAATCAAATCATTCCTCGAATTAATATGTAACACACTGTAATGTGTATAGAAGACCATTGTAAACCGCACTTGCCATACTCACCGCGAGTGTCATAGAGCTGTCCCTTCTGAATAACTACACCTCAATATTCAATTTTGAAATCTAAGATAGCCGCCTCCACAGCTGAAGTGTTGTAGGTGGTGTTTTCTGTCTATGTAGATGGTCGATCCTAGAGTGAGTTAGTAGCTCCTATGATGTAGCAGTGAGTAAACTCTTCTTGCTGCTCTTTTCTAACTTCTATGCGAAGTTGGATTTCATTACTGATAGCCTGATATGATTTAGCTGCACTTTTTTTTTGCGATATGACTGTGTAACTAAGCTTCGATGTGTCGGCCCTAGATTTTGTCATCTCTGTATGTTCCAAAGGCATTCTAGACAATTAGTGCATTGTGTTATTTATTATATTTTCTTCCTCAACTAAATATGTATATCTTCAATTGTATGTGCAGTGTTTTTCGAAACTCATCTAATCGGCCGTTAGCCAAGTGCAGTTGTTGGTGAGGCAGTTCATAGAGAAGCAAGACAAGATGCAAAGATCAAAGGTGTCTAAGAAGTCCGTTAAGGTCCCGTCGTATGAGTGGCACTCTTGTTTCCACTTTCCATTTCGATTAGAGCTTCTCTGAGCTATTGCGTTGCCCTCGAAATAGAATTAGCACTCGCATGTGCTAACTAAACCTCTCAGCATAGCTCAATACTCAAAGGAGTTGCAGCTGCTGATTAGGAAAAACAACATTATCCCTTCCTTACGATACATTCTCACAATAAATCTAAGGACAGATTAGGAAAGGTAGAGGGCAAAAGAAGTGCATTTTAGGTCGAGCTTGGTACCATGCATTGGGAATGGGCGCTTTTCTCTTAGTTTAATTGGCGTAACCAAGCTTCGTTCCGTGTTAGAACTACTGTAGATTGGGACATTAGGCAGTCTAATTGTAACATTTTTCTAAGATTTTGTACAATGGATGATGACCATTAATAAATGTTGGTTGATTTAGAATGATTTACATGGTTCTCTTTGATCACCTAAGTTAAACATCTACAAAAAGAATCCCAGTATATGGAGAGTTTAGAACAAGTACCTTGAAGATGCATGCATAGATGCTGTTAAGCACCCTTTGATTTAGCAAAATTTTCGTTCTCGCCTTATTCCTCCTCAAGAGTGAGAGGAAATAAGGCGAGAACGACCTGTCATAAAAGTCCTATTTCAAATTGTCAGCTAGCGAAAACATCAAAATTGTTTTTAGCGGCCTGATTAGTTTCATGTTTCCTCTTAGTAGTAGAATCAATTGTTTTTTACATTAACAATTCACTGTTATATGGATAAAACACCAGCATTCCTTCAAACTTTCAAGATTAGGGAAATTTCAGCGATCAAGGATGATTGCGTAATTCTGAACAAATCTTGATGATAATCTCTTCTTCACTGCTTGTTAATTAATTTTTCTATGCATAATAAAGCTGGATTATCCAATCTCGCTAAGCTCATAACAACTTCTTCGAAAATGTTTGATTTAGTCGTTGTTATTGCAATTTTTGAAGTCTTCTACTCATACATTCCAACAAGAACACAACACACAATCCTTGCTCTTCGGCTTCGAAAGTTGCAATTAATGAATGATGCAAAACACGTACCTCAATTGCTTCAACATAAATGGTCCGCGGGCCATTTGTTCATAGATGCAAAGTCATTCACAAATGCTCACGAAATTCTTTGTGTGAGCTTTGCATTCTTGCGCCAAAAAACACGTAGAAGCTAGAATTTCGCTGATTTTGCATGTATTTTGCAGAGCTGTCATTGGCAATAATGAAGCTGTTAGAAAGAGTAAAAGTAAATGGTAATATTTTGCAGTTTAACTTATTACAGTAAAATAAAAATATATAAAACGAACTTCGTTTTTTCCATTGGCCTACAGGTAAACACTTCGTTTTTTTTCTAGAGAATTATATTTGAATTTGAACGCACATTTGCTGGTCTGCATCCTTTTTTTCAAATTTTATCTTAGGTCTTGTCAAGGACTTTTATTTCTTTAGTTTTTTTTTTCTCTGAAATCTGCACGTCTTAAGGGTTTTGCAGTGAACATTTAAGCTGCCATAGTCTATCAGTTCAGCCAGATCTTCTATGACATTCTTTGCGTACTCCTAAGCCCCAGAAAAGCGAAAAATGTTGACGGACTCTGAAGTTGAAATGATCAAGTGGAGCTGCCGACCCCTAACTCTTTTAATCCCGGGAGTTTTTGCTTTTTTCTTGAGAACTGCCCCGCCCATGGGTTTCTAGACCCTCCCACTAGCTTCAGCACTGCCTCATTTTGAATCCATTGAAATAAATCTCTCACGAAGTGCATGCAACGTCCTTAATTGCTCAAGCGATCTTCTACAAACTTCTTTCTTCGTTGTCGTCTGAAAAAGTAGTTGTCAACAGGTATCGGACAGATGACAGATCTCCGACTGAATGCATGTTTTTATTTTGAGTTTGTTCGAATTGGCATAGTCGCTATAAAGCACTTAGGACTACAAAATCAGGAAATATCATTTTTCTTTAAGTACCATTCTCAGCCTAATGATTAATTCTGGTTATCAAATCAAACTGAAGTACGAAAATGCTATCCG